GACTGATCATATTGCGGTATTGTAAAACAATATAATCAAAAAACTTCTTAAAAAAAAAACACTATAAAATCGCATTTGTTTTAAAAACAAAACGAAGAGTGTCGTCTTGTGCTTATTGAATCGCCCTGTACATACATATAATTAAAAATACACTGTTCGAGACGGTCGTTGTACGCGGTTAATAAACTTTTAGCGGTAAAGTATGTATAAGACTATGTGCACATTATGTATACGTTGTGTGCATATTATTACCGACCACGTTAGGGTTTTTGGTCAGAGTTATAATAATGCTTCCGACATCTACTTGGGTTTTCTGGAAAACAAAAATTCTGAGGTGGCGGCCGCTGCCATGCAAACGTTTGCGTTGTGGCGTAAATAAGATAACTAATACCTTTTCGTACAACGTTGTCTTTGTAGAAACTACCGGCCAATTATAATGATGAACTGAAAAATAAGTACCCGTCCGACAACAGCCATAGCGTATAGGGATGACCTTGTTACCGTTTTTACACTTGGACTTGGCGCGCTGGTTTGTGGGCGGGACATTATGTATTTTGTGTACGGGAAACCTAATGATTTCGGACAGTGCCCGAGACGGTGATAATATTATTATAATCTGTGTGGCCGAAAAAGGTTATTCCGGGACAAACAACCCAGTGTTAACGAGTGCGTTTGTTAGGACCTACATTATACTATATAGTGGTAGTGACGGCGACTTAATTCAAAGGCGTGTTCCACCGTGCGATTTTACCACAAACTACAAACCCCCCCCCCCGTTCCCCTGTTCAGTAGGGGTCCCCAAGGGTCCAAGGTTGACAGACATAGAAGACAATTACAGAATTCCAAACGTCGAGACCACAATTTCTTGTGGACATTCTTATTGTACACATACAGTGCCCCGTCGGTTGACCCGCTGAAACATAATAGTTTTTAAGAAGGTTTTTTTTTGTCCATTTCGGTCAATCGAAACACACCTTTTTTTATTACTCAAGCAATCACAAAGTCGTCCGGTCCTACAGGATAAAACTCTGTGCGAAACATGATAATAACATGTCATTCGCGGTAGTCTTTGACTAGCAAACGAGCGCATCTTCAAGGGAAAGACTAACATGGCTAACGGTGCAACTGTCCCTTCAACGTCAATGGCGATGTTTACAAATCTTTACTCTAAGTAAACACAATTTAAGGTGTATGAGATTAAATTGTCAAAAAATAGCTTTACAACAAAACATATTATAGTATAGTTGTATAAGACGTATAGTATACTTACTCTTAAGCCCTCAGGAGCTAATGATATTTTTTTGGGTTACCATCGTTTATGGGTAGTATTTTATCTAAATAATATTCCATATAAATTGCGAACTAATTCGACATAAATTTAATTGTTTTTTTTTTAAAAGAGAATAATATCTGTAAATAGTTCTAAACGTATTATTGGTCTTATTGATTATTTTTTTTTAGCTTTTTAAAAAAACTTTGCTATCGGCTTACAGTTTAACGAGACTTTCAACTCGGCACACCCGCTCACATTCTGCAACACGATTAATGTTGTATTTTTTTTCTTCTTATCGTTAACCGTACAGGCTTGCGGTTTTTTAACAAGATTTTTTAACTAAACCCATCTAGCACAATATATATTACATAGACGTTATCACTGGACAGCTGTATCGCTTTAGATCAGCATTACCGCCAAGGCCCTTTCGGTCCACTAGAAACGTCTAACAACGTTTTCTCGGCTTATCAATGTGGTACACTATTTTTTTTTTCCACTAAAAGTTGTCGAGAACAAAAAAATAGACGTGGAACAATATTAGCCGGTGGATAACAATTAGCGGAAAATTACTCATAAACAACAGTTTTTTTTTCATATTCGGCCGGGAACCAACCGTAAATTAAACAGAGTTGAGATTTATAATTAAAAAACTTTATCAATATCGCCCAACTATACGGGGTCCATTTAGAATAGTAGTGTAATATAATAAAATATTGTACAAAAAAAACGAAGCGGCGAACAACATGTTTAGTAACTGTTTTTGACACGTTGATTTTTTACTTTAAAACATAATTATTTTTCTGAAAGTAACATAATGTTCAGTTATTTGCACAACTTGAGCAGACCACTTAAAGTGTTTGCGATTCATTAAGAACAAAACAATCGATTACTCTTAAAAAAATTAGAATGATTTAGTAGTTTTTATTTTTGGAGACATGCATTTTACATTTTTGGTATTTTACAATATTCCAATTTTTATATTTTCCAGAAATCTACCGACTATTATTGCTTAACCGGTAACGTAAAATTTATATTTAATTCACTTTTTAAATTGAGAATAATTTTCCAAAAATGGTAACTGGTCAATGACCAGTTTTGGTTGATTTTTTTTTTTAATGTTATTAAAGTTTGAAACTAAGGACGGTAAGTGGTAAAATTGGGAAAGTTAATTAGAAATTGGAAATAAAAATTAGAAAGAAATTAGAAGTGGAAGGCGTGCAACTAAATGTAATACTGCACTCCATCCTTTTTACAATTTTAAAGTTTAATACATTTAAAATAATTATCCAAAACTGGTTATTGAATTTTGTTAGAGCTTGTGTTTCAAAAATTTCGATAGAGCTCTGTAAAAAATTAACAAGGTGTATATAATATATTTAGTAATTTCACAATATTTGAAAATAACACAAACAAAATTTGTTTTCAAGGAGAAAACCTGCTAAAATTAAAATTATTTTAAGAAAATATAAATGTTTAATATCTTAATTATAAATAAAATATAGGAAACAAATTCTTATGTCATTATAAATTGCGAAAAATCAATTAAAATAAAAAATAATGTTATCTAGAAATTCTACATTCAAAATCCTCTGCCTACCAAGTACACAGTATTAAAATAATAATATAATCTTTGCTATAGGCACGTGGTCAAAAACGCTTATATCATAAACTCCAACAGTATACTATTTTAAGATTTTCATTTCATAAAAATCATAGCACATAGTTTTATGGACTCCGTAAGCAAAGCCAGTTAAGCCGGGGAGTATGTGATACAGCACGCAAGCAAGATAAACAAGCAATAAATGTAACACATAAGTTCTAAACGACATGTACAAATTTGATAAACGCATAAACGAGAATTAAGAACGGTGCATTCACCTCGCAATAAATAAAACAAATTCATTTTAAGAGAATAACGAATAAAAGAAAAGATTTACAAACATTGTTAAAAATTGTAACTTCTTATTTATTTATTAAAATTATAGTCATAGCTGACAGAAATATTATTAGAATAATAATTGTAGACCTTACGATTAAAATTATTTCTATAAATTCTAAGACTTATTTTTTTATTTTAAGACGAGTTATTGTTAATTATAATATTAAAAAACAATTATTTTTTTTAATTGTCTGATCAATCACCGTTTGTGTAATTTGTAAAATTAATTTTTTTTCTGATAGCTAGTACAGCACAAATATATCCAAGCCATAGTAAGGTGTTGGACGCGACTTGAAAATAAATCTAAATATGTACAGAGTACACTATTGTGTGTTTTTTTTTTTAAGTAATCTGATACAGTTGTACCTATAATTGATGGACCAAAACGTATTTTCACAAAATTAGCAGATAGCTCAAAAACACCCATCACTGTAACTACTAAGTACTATTTTGGATTCACGCCGAAGCATGAGTTATTATTCAAGTCAACGAAAAAAAAAGTGTTGGCGTAAAACTGTTTTTAAAAGAATTTTTTTCGTCGCCGGTTAACGAGACAAATAGGTTCATTCAACCGAAAACTTATTGTCTGTGTTTTAGGACCCTTAAGGGGGCTCGAGAGACTCACGTTCCTGGAAATTTCATGAGTTTTACAGGTACGGATTGTTTGACAGAAATTATATACTTGGAGTTTGAGCATTTGAAAGTATTTATTGTATATTTATAACGTATGCCAAAATGTCACCACCATCTCTCATTAGTGTTTAAATAATAATTCATTTAATTTAACTAATTAACATTATTTATACATTTATTATATTATTTTCTGTTAATATAAAATCATCTAGATTAAAACGGTTGATTTAAGTGTTATCATCATTAAAATTAGTAGGAATTAATTTTAAAACATTTTTTTTTTACTTAAAATTATCACGGATATATACATTACACTACTCGGCAATACGATTAACAAATAACACTATTATCAATTACATTATCAATGAAAACGTTAATGGTGCACTCCTTCCAGTGAGGGTGTTGAGTTTTCATTTCAAACTGGTCTCAAAAGTAAGGTAGGTCTAGTGTTTATTTTATCGATAAATTCACTGTACCTAATGATAATTATGAGCTTAAAAATTAATTTTTAGTATTAGGGTGGATACGGTTAGGGTTTTAGTTAATAAAGTTCGACTATAGATTTTTGGGAAACCTATTTTTAGACCTAAATCCTTAAAATTTGCTTGAAGAAGTGAAAAAAATAAAACAATTCTATCCCCTCTAAAGGAAAGGGGTTATGATATTTTTTTGGTTTGTCAGTGTTTATCGGTAGTACTATTCATGACGAATATTCCGTACAAATGTGAAACTAATTGGACTATTTTTCCAAAAAAAGTTATAGACCATCGTAATTTTAAGTTGAAAAAAATGTAAAGTTTTGGTGTGTTTTTCAATTTCGAAGGGGGGGGGGGGTGACTTTTTAAAATGTTTGGCCCAATAAAGTACACTTTTCTGGTCCTATAGAGTTGCTGCACGAAGAAATCGGTTGAGCGATTTAAGATATCGCGTATGTCCAGGCACGAAAATAAAAACACATCATTGTAAACACAACAACTTCTGAGCTCCGCGTGGAAGCTGCTAAAATGTGGCGAAAAATGTTTCATAAAAAAAAACGTCGTTTTATTCCAATCAAAGTGTTCGTTGAAACGTAAATAGAAAATAAATTGGCGAAGAAGAAACAGTTAAAAAAACCGTCGGCCAGGACAATGCCGGTTTGTGCGGTGATGGCGGCAGCTAGCCTATGTCGACGCTACACTTTGTCATGATTTCCACGTTACTCTTGGTGACGCTGCTGTTGGGATACTTGATGAAGTGTCTCATGGTAAGGAACGGATGCGACAGCGCTTCGGCAGCCGTTATCCGTTGGTCCGGCATCGCCGACAGCATTTTCATTACTAAGTCGGTGAACCATTCGGCGTCTTCGCGGTTTTGCACGTGTGCAAAGCCCGTGCTGAAACACTGAAACAAGACTTATTATTATGCGTTAAACGGCAGACCGTGTTATGCCCTTCCATTAGTTTAACGCCCATCGCCGCGGCATTGCTGATCGTTCCGAACGACCGTGGTTAAAACTATTTTACAATAAACACACTCGCACAAAATAGGAGAATATATTATTATTATTCGAAACGCGGTTAAGGTGGTTCTGAAAATATATATATATATATATCATGCCGAGCGAGCGAATGTCTAGTCTTGTACGCCGCATTTAAGAATGCTATGCTAGCTACAATCCGTCAAAAATGACAGCTAGAAATTAGCCGTTCATACGGTTTGATATTAAATAATTGCGTGTAATCTATCGTGATTGCCAATCACGATTCCTGTTCGAAATTATAGATAGATCTGCGTGACGTACATTTGGCTGGACTCGGCAGACACAAACACATGCTAAATGTACCCGTCTTCTCTCCCGTCCCGTCCCCATTATCATTCTTACCACCCCTCCCCTCCCCTTCTACTTAAAATCGAGCCAGTAGTTTCAGAGATTATCGTCACGGTATGGGGGGCATGGTCTAATTGAATCTACGAGTTTACTGGCCGAGTTTAGTGAATTGGAAGTGCTATAAATACATTTAAACATATTCAGCGTAAATTTGTATATTTTGCTGGGTGTATATTGATAATTGATCAGCCGCCTCTCCTGTGCTTTCTATTTTGCAATTATTATCCTCGCCAGCTTGTAGAAGATTCCAAGCGAATATATGTTTTCTTGAGAAGTTACTCTCAGGTAAAATAAACTCACCATATCTCCTTAGTTGCATTATTTCCGAAGTCCTTTTTTTCCCCTCACGTAATAACTATCCATTTTATATTCCAATATTTACCACAAACTATCCTACAAATGAACCCGCTGCAAGAAAGATGCGGATTGTCAATTTTTAACCATCTTTCTCTTCTTTGTAATATTGTACTGTCTTGTAAAATTTCTTTTATTTGTTATTATCAATATGTCAAAACTACGTTTATACGTGAATACTATACTCATAATAAATAAAAAATAAACGGTTTAAAAGGAACTCACTTTAAATCGTTGCCAACCTCTGGACAGCTGATGTGCGTGGAAATTCCGATCGGGTGTGTCGGAACTTAAGTAGTCGGGCACGGGAAGCACAGTGGTTATGACTCTCATAAGATGCTCCTCGTCGGTCACCTCGAATAACTTGACGCCGGTCACGATTTCAGGCATGATACATCCCAACGCCCATATGTCCAGAGCGTGATCCAATTGGCCGCAAAAGCACACTTCGGGGGCGCGATACGAGAGCGCTTGGAGTTTTTTGAAGAGCATTTTTTTCGCGTCTTTCATTTGAAACGCCCATCCGAAATCGATTATTTTTACCAAATAATTGTTGCATATGCTCGCGCAAAACATTATGTTATCCGGTTTGAGATCAGCGTGCACTATTCCCATGCTCTTCAAGCCAACCAAACCTGTAAGTATAAAAATTGTTCAAGATATTAAAGATCTATATTCAATACCGATTGGCAACAGCTACGCAAAATGTTCTTCTTCGTGCCAACTATTTGGAGACGACCATGACGACCGGCCTAAACCTCCATCTTCGCATACACCAGCAGTGTATTTTCTCTCATTTTGTCCGCCATCGAAGCCATGTGCCAATGCTACCAATCTAATGTCATCTTGATTCTCTCTCTCCGCACATAACCAAGTGAAGCCGTACACAATATCAATAATTATCGTGGTATAGTTTGTACCTTGTGCGATTTGCCTGACCACCGTCCTACACACGGACATGGGAAGTGCGCCCACGTTGTGCAGAACCGCTTGCAAAGTAGTGCCCAGCCTTTCAATGATGAGACAATTGACTCCCGTCTGCAATTGGACGGTATCGATCAGTCTGGCGTATCGCGACCGTAACGAGCACCGGTTCAATCGTTTCATGATTTCCACTTCTTTCAAAAACTGATAATGGTCCAGGGCGGAATTCTGTTCTTTCAACACCAAAGCTTTGATGACTACGGCTTGGCCCGTGGTCGAGTCAATGGCGTGGAAAACGCGTGAAAAACGACCGGAGCCCACCAAATGCTGTACGTTGTACACTGTCTTTGCGGTGCACACTTCGTTCGATTGAAATATCTGCCGACTAAAGCAAAAACACAATACCCTTTTTGAGTCGTTCGATACCGTACGAAATAAATAGCCTACCGCCATCATACCTATATTGATGGCAAAGGCGCTTTCCAATAATGTATTAATATAGGAACTAATATTATTTGCTTATTTTGCACCTCACTGCAGTAATTATGGTGTACAAACCTGTTATAGAATCAATATTATGTTATATACAGGTCATGTTCACCCACTACTTGAAAACTGGAAATATGCCCGGGTATTCTTAACTTGAACGGTGTATAGTAAAAAAATAAGTTAAAAAATTAAGCTTCGTTTTTTTTATCGTATAAAATTGCGTTGTTCATTATAAATAATAACGACGTACTAATAAAATGTTTCAAAAGTCAATGCCTATCGACGAATACTTATTAAAATATACAAAATTGTATTACTATACATTTACACATTTAGACAAAGTAGTTTTTCACATTAATCCAGTTACTTTTTGTTTTATATAATGACACAATATTAATTTCGGTAATATTGTTTTTGTTATTAGGGTAAAATATATAAATACATTTTTAGTAATCTACAAAAAAATATGTTTTTAATAATATTAACAGTCAACACTTTTTATCATAAATTATATATATTTTTTTTTAACATTTGGGAGTTTCGAATAATTTATGTTGTTCAACCCTAAAAAGAAGATCGTCTACAGCTATCGAGTTGAACATAATATTATGGACTTAGCGTCTCAATATGTCACGTGTAAAATAAAATATTAACTTTGTTTCGACGACAAATTGTATACAAAACAATATTTCACTTACGGATGATTAATTACGTTTGTCATTGTTGATTGCTTAGATAATATCAAATTCGTTGTGGCACGTGACATTAATTCTTTTATCGAACAACAAAACACAATAACTTCATAATCTGACTTGAACTTGTATGTTAAAGAGTTACAACCAATAATAGCTATATCTTTTATTATATGCAATACAATAGCGTACACTGTATGTTCACCGTGGTATATTAAACCAAATGTACATAACGACCAACAGGAAAATCGTGTGCCGGTATCGATGACTTACATTGTATTATTTATTTTTTACTATCTTATAACCAGGGAAGTATATTATTATCCGACAATAATAGCTGCATTGACCGAGTATCGATCGCCACGGATTAACGTCGATCAAAGAAATTATAAACGACAATATTATAAATTACAATTACTGAAAGAGATTTTACAAGAATAATTTGTTCAAAAAAAACAAATCTTAATAAACTGAAATAATTCAGTCGATTGTTGAATTTAATAATTGTTCAGATATAACATATTGACTGTTATAGGGATACGAAACATTAATTTAAAAATTAATAATAATTAAATTATTTAACATTTATACAACAACATATTATAATATGTTTTGTGCTGTAACACTGTAACATTAAACTTCTTAGTAATATTATATAATAGTTATTTGTTCTGAGAATTTTCCAGAAATAAACGTTTATTTTGGACATTTTTCTAAGAATTTTACCTAAATAACAATATATTTTATTGATATCTAATTGCAAGAAACTCGACGAAAATAGAGTAATTTTGGAAATAATTATTATTGTACCCTATATTAAACCCAGTTATATAATATTTTAGCAATTAAAGCTGAAATATAAGTTAAACGTACGGTTAATGTTGAAACATTATTATGTGAGACATAATAGTATTATAATTATTTAAATAAATGTTGTTATAATACAAATATTATAATAAAATCAAATGCGTAGCTCTTTTGAAAAAAAATTGTCGATTGGACTTTGTTGATTTCTGTTTTTTCATTATTTCCACAACACTTTCTATTGAACGTACAACATATTTTAAAAGCTGGGATAAAAGCGTTTTAATAGTTTGGAAAAAAGTCATTAACTACCTATAACAATAATTATTTAGCACCGCGGCGATTTATTATAATACCGTAGCACGTTTAAAACCAAAAAAACACACTGTTTTTTTTTTCTTTTAAAGGCTGACATTGACACCTTTATAATTGTAGTCGCCCTACCAAGTGTGCAGCTCTGTTGTCGACCGATAACACGATTAAAAACCGATCAAGCTAAACAATTCAGCTTGCAGAATGATTATTTAACACCGCGTGGAAACTGTATATTATCAATCATCGTATAACAGAGTATCGTTTAACACACCATTTTACATTGTTTTTGGGCGTGCTCAGTAATGCCATGTCGTTATCGTCCGCCCGTTAACGGTGTTTACAGACAAAGCATTAACTATTATACATAAATGCACGTTTTATAATAATATACTTACGGCGATACGAATCAGTAAAAGTATAAAGCATGTTTCATGGACAGAAGACCGGAGAATGATCGCGATTGAGACCTCTTTAAAGTATCAGTTACCTAACCGAATGGATCCACGATGAAGCTGCATCATATACGGTGGAAAAAGAATTGGCCAAATCATTTCCGGGATGGGACAATAGCTGGGAACGTACAGAAAACGAAGAGGTCAAGATTGCCCTTTACACAGAGAAAAGAAAATATGAAACAAGCCACATATCGAAATAATGGGGGGGGGGGGAAGGTCATGGTCATGAGAAATATGCGAGAGAGCAAAGTTTTTAAGACATCGCCAAAGGGTCTATTATTCCAAAACGCTCGGTAGTGCAAGAGGAAAATATTTTCAGATATGAGAGTTGTAAAATAGAAGGGTCACATCTGGTTTGTAATCACAATAATATCGTTTATTTTTAAAATACATTTAGAATATACATATATATAGTCAAATATCTTTACACACGATCAGAAATAATTTTAAAAAGCCAACACGGCAGGGATTGAGCATATCGCAGGTCTTCAGGAATTATAATAACTGTATAAGATGAAATAACTTAAAACATTATTGTACTTAGATACCTGAATGTCTCAGATACCTGTCATAGATAGCAACCTAGAAATTTACTATTTAAAGAGTGCAATTTTTGTTATTTGTTTATCGGTAGTACTATATCTAAAGAAACACTAATTTTTAACTAATTAGACATTTGTTAGTTAAAAAATATGTCTTTTTTTTTGTGTTGTTCAAGATTTAGAAGTGGAATAGGTGAATTTTTTTTAATTATTAGCTAAATAAAGTACCTTTAATGTAAGATTTCTGATCTATAAACTTGTTACGTTAAGTAATCAGTTTAGAATTTAATATTTATTGTAATTTTACACACACAAAAGACACACCGTTGTATCTCTCTCAGCTCCGCATCGAATGTCAAAAAAAATGGCAGCGACTCCTTAAGCAGCATTTTTAATGAAGATTTTTGAAGTAAACCAAAAAAAAAAAACAATTAGAAATTGATAAGCTTTCGTACGAACAAATATAATATTATTGAAGATAAAATTAAAGTCTATTGTAATGCCGAGTATGTTGTTAATTATCTCAAGATAAATTAATAATTATTTTCTAACTTGACTCGCTACCGTGAAATATTTTCCCAAAAATATGTGTTTGTTTTGTTCCTGTAAATGATTTTCACCCGAACAAATCTGAAACCACCCACGCCGAGCTCTCTAATTACACATAAGAGATAATAATTTATTTCCAAGTAAATCATTTGCAAGGTTTCGTTATAGGTAAGCACCCGTTTTATATAACAAAACACACGCGTGGTGTGTGGTACAGCAAAATTATGGCGACGCTGTAATAAAAAATTATTTATGTATCCACTTAACGTGGGTCGACGATCGCATAAGCCCGGCTCGAGCAACTTGTTGTTTTTCGAAATTATTCGGACGGCAGTCTCGCAGGTAGGTATATTGTAATGGAATTGTTAAACTCAAGTTCCCATAAAATTTTCAATTAAAACATTTTAAAAGTGTCTATTAAACCCTTAGAAACGCTTATGATAAAGTACTGCGGCAGTCACACTGTAAACATAATTAATATGTTATAGCTTGGCTCGTTTTTAACATAAGCCCCACAACAAAGATGGTTAAATTAACGTGGCTTTTCTATAGGGATGCCGTAGACTTTTTTATTCGATTGAAACATTATAGAATACCTACTTCTGTCATAGTATAACATTTTACTAGCCGGTATGAAAAAGGTTAAGGTTTTGTTGAATTTCCATATGAAAACCATTCAACTAATTAATAATTCATTTTTTTTTTTTGCGGCATATTTAAACGAACGAAAACAACATGGCTGATAACTATTTTAGTTAAAAAGGCAACCAAAAAACAAAAAAACAAACCCTCAACTACAGCTAAACTATTTCATATGATCGAAAACGGTATACCATAGGTATCTCGAGTATAATAATATTATACTTAGAAGGTATTTCAAAATATTCTATAATTATTATAAATCCTGATCTACCGATTGTATTCACTAATTTCATGTGTTTTCAAATGTGTTATTTTTTCAATTTTAAGCTTCGGCTTGAAGTAAACGCATAAATATTTCTATAGGTTTTAATTAAATTTGAATCCTTTCAGAGGTCCAAAGCAAAACTTTTAAAAAAACACTCACTTCAATAAAAACCCGAAGCTTAAGTGTAAACTATACATTACAATCAGTATTTCGTTTATCCCAAGTTGGTTTCAAGTATAGAATAAACTACAAATAACAAAGTTGAAGTCTTGGCTAGAGGATCGATGACTGCGTACGTACTCATACTTAAAGTTTAAACTTAAAAACGGAACAAACTATTTAATTACACTTGAGTTTCAAAATAGGAACACGGTGCCACGAGGGTTACTCTAAAGGATTGGCACATACCTGTCTAATGTGACCACTACTACCACATTGTGAACACACTTGTGTTCATTAGTAGAGTATATTTCGGTGTAACTATTTTAAGATGTAATTCCAAGTAGTTTACGTACATATAACAGTTTAAGAGCACAGTCTTAACAAATTCTAAACATAGACAATATAATAAAATATATTGTACAATCAGCTAATATATACTAAGAAATGTTTTTTCTTTTCTTTAAAATTTATCTTTCAAAAATATAATATTTGTTATATATAAATAAAAAAAGTTATAATCGCTAAAATTAATGAAAAAAATTGTTCGTTTTAAAAATGGAAGACGATTTAAAATGAATATTACTCGGTTTGGACTGGCCAAAGAAAAAAATCCAATTGTCGATTTCTTACAATAATGCTTTGCTAATAGAAAGGCAAAATAGTGTTATGTTTGCGAGAAAGCGCCGAGTGTATAATAATGTATTCAGTTTGATCTCTTCATGACCTATAGTAAGAATATAAACAAGTCGTTAAAATGTCCCTTTGGTCCAATTCTATGTTTGTAAATTGATATAGGTCGTTTTGAACTACCCAAAGTTTTCTTAGACAAGAAACGCTGTACTTACCTATAAAAATGTTTTATTTATTTTGAAAACGAGTTTATAGTTGTGTTTTGAGTGTATTTACTTTACATAAAAGCTATGTGATTTGATATCAACCAAAATGTGTGTGTACGATTCAATTTTCGTCCAGCCCCAATTTTCAAATTGGTATTTTAAGTTTTTTCTTTACAACTCAAGTACCTTGTTTCGGTAATTATTATTTATTGTGTATTGTACAAAATTATTATTTAAATAATTATACTAAAAGTAAGTAACACACAAACATATTATTTTGTCCTGTGAAAGGCCTAAAAGTCATTATTGACATGTAGTTTGCCAGGCTATATTTGTCTAACTAATGTCTAACAATGAATACCTGAGCCTTACTTTTTGAAAAACAAAAAAAATACTTTAGAAAATATAATACATTTTTAACATTATTATGGCCAGTTAAAATGTATTAATATGTAACAA